TTGAAGATAGGTGATGGTTGCTATAAACAATCCACACACCAGGAATATAATCAACCCATGAATTTATATTATGCATTATATTTAATATTATAATATTTATAATTTATTACTTATAGTTTTAATCTTAATACACTTTTTTTCACCCTCTTTTCTCTTGTTCTATTTTTCTAAATTCTAAATTATTATTTTTTATAATGAGGGTGTAGATGAATTTACACGCACTTTAACTAATCTTCTAAGATTTGAAAACTATTAGAAATCGAGAAACTATGTAAACTTAGATTCTCCTTTGCTCATCAGGCCACCTATTGGTGGTTGAAATGTTTTTTTTATTCATTGTGATATTATATTAAATTCATTTGGTTTTATCAGGTTGATAGTATCACAAATTCTAAGTTCATTGAATAGGTAATTTAAAAAAGAAAAAAAATAAGTGTTGTGTGTGATTTTTCCACCAAGCTCGGGCTACTGCGAGGATATAGCTTGACCCAAGACCAATCCGACTCCACCAGTTGTCTGACTCAGCACAAGCTCGTCAACACATAGCTCGACCCAACATAAGCTAGTCGCGAATAACTCGAATGATCATTCAATCAATTCCCAGTTATCTTTAGATCCCAAATATTGCGGGAATGACCAAATCAACATCAATCTCTACACGATCACAACGCCCAATCACGAGAATATCAAAATTGTAGTTCAGATCAATTGTAATCCCTTTATTTTCGCTCTTTCTTTTGTACAAACCTTGTATATAAACCCCCACAAATGATGAAAAAGGGGTTACGAATTTGACACAGATATCTTAATGTAAGCTCTCATAGCAAATACAAAAAACAGTGGATGTACGCTCAAGAGTTTACCTCGCCGAACCACTTTAAAAATTCTCATTGCCATTTATTTTATTGCACTTAATATTTGTCTAATGTTGGTTACCCGTAATCACGAGCACATCCATTCTGGTCCCATCAAGGTCGATTAGAATTCTCCGGTTGGTACAGATTTCTGTATCAACATTTTGGCGCTAGAAGGAGGGCCTCCGCCAACATCACAGCAATTCCTACAAACAGTCGCGACAACCTACCCAATCCAAACCCATAATGGTGCACACCAGATCGAAGACTGCCACCGAAGACCTTGAGAATGTGGAAACCACCCGTGAGGAGGTACAATAGGACGCAACTGGACATCGACCACCCGTGTTGCCAACTAAGCATGTTGCGAATAACCAAGGGGCAGGGACATCAAACCCCAAAAATGGCCAGCTGGTGGAAATGATCAAAACAATAGTTGCATAGGCGGTGCAACAAAACGTGCCTGAGTTGAGGAATCAGCAACCACCTGCCCAGAATCTTAACCAGCCACGCTTCATCAGCACCACCCCAATGGGTATGAATTCCATAGGTGGCTAGTTTGGTTCATCGACGCCAAGAGGCGGCCAATACCCCCGACATCACAAGCCACACTCTACTCATGAGCGCGAGTCTCGAGGGCAAACTAATCCCGGGAGGCGGCCAAGGAAACAACCACTAGGGAGAGTGAAGACAATGGTCATCCCAGAGACGCTCGGTGATATCTCCATCGTCAACGTGTCAGTATTAACCCATGCCAAAGACAAGATTGATCCTCGCCAGCTCACGAGACGAGCCATGTGCGCCAATCTAGCAACGACTAACATTCCGATTATAATAGATGAGCATGATAGCACTTATCAGCCTCGCCAACATGACTCAACTTCGCACATCAATGGGCACAATAGAGGAGCTTCCCAAGCAACGGATTTGCAAACCCATTTGCTTGAAGTGAGGCTGAACAGAGCTAGCTAGGGCAACCACATTTAAGACAAAGATCATGTGATAAGAGCTTGAAAATGCATATTTAGATAGTGGTTTATGAGGATTAATTGTGGGAAATTAGGCTTAATTTGGTAAAGTTGCTTAATATTTTCATAATTGTCTTTTACGGGATCACAGGTGTTTTTGAGTGTTTTTTAGGCTACTAGAGCTTAAATGTTATGCTCGGATGAAGAATCATGTCGACAACGGAAAAAGTGACTAGTGGAAACAAACGGATCGAGAATCAAAGTTGAATTGAAGAAGTTATGGAAGTTGAAGTAAAGAGAAGATTCTAGATTATGTTCCAGCTTGAGCATGCCTTGGTATTTTGATAATATCTTGAGCTTTAGAACTTGGATTAAGACTATTCTTGGACTTTTGGAAATCTGATTCAAAGGGCTACATTTTATATGTTTACCACTTTTCCAAATTTCATCGTTATCATATTCAAAAATCATCATCTCTGAAGAACAATGGAATGATGCAGGAAGAAGAAGAAATTACTGTGCTGCGGCACACTCTGGCCAGTAGCTACTGTGCCATAGCACAGTCATAGAAGTTAAAAACTAGTTATCCGTTTTTAGGTAGGAGAATAGGGCTAAGAGTCCTAAACCAAATAGAGTTAAGAAAAATAAAACCCTAACCCTTGTGGGATATAAATAGAAGTCTTTGAACATTATTTGGGGGATTCTTTAGTGAGAAGAAGAGAGAAAAATCTGCAGAGAAGAGAAGTAACAGAAGTTTTGGAGCCTTGATTCACAATATAGTGAAGTTTTCCTTGTTCTTTTCTTATAAACTCATGATGATTGTTTTAATAAAGATGATTGTTTTAATAAAGATGATTGTTTCTTTCATATTTATTATGAACTAAATTTATTCTCTGGGGCTAAGATGTAGCCCAATATCTTGATTATGTATTGATCTTTGATTGTTAATGTTTATTAAGAATTCTTCCTAAGTTTTACTATTATTCCTAATGCTTTTGATTCTTAAGGGCCCAAGAATTGAATGAACTAATGGACTAAGTTGAGATTGAGAGATAATACTTAGTTGGTCTACGGTAGTAAAACCATAGGTTGAGCGAACGCTAGAGATATGTTACCGCGACTTGTGAGGTTTTGGTAAACTCCATAGAGCGTAATGATCTCTAATTGCTTAAATCTAATTAGAGATAATTCAGCTTAGTAATTAGGGGTTAATTTGATAATTGTTCGAGAGAAAGTTATTAGAAATTTAGGGAGTTTGACCTATAGGAAGAGCTTAATAAAACTAGTATAAGAGATCGATATATATATGAATAAGAGTTGGTGTGAAGTCTATGCCCTAGGTCTAGTCATCTTGTTTTTACCCAAAGGTTTATTTTAATTGTTCTATGTTCAGTTTTTTCTTTTTAATTTCAATTGTTAATTTAGTTTAGATCTTCCTTGGTACAATTTGGATTGATCAAATAGTAATAGAATAGTTTAATTGGTAATTGATAATAGTAATTTTCTTGGGTTCCATATCCGTAATTTTACACTTTATTATTTGTACGATTTCGTATACTTGCGAAAATCTATAACATTGTGTACAGAGAATACTCAACGATCTAAAAGCCCACCAAAATGGCATGGCCAAGGAAATATTAAACTTCTAGTTTCGAAGGGTTTCGACCAACCAAGACCAATTTAAGACCCTTTGATGTTAACTCCAAGGCAAAGGCTTTGCCAATTCCATCGGTGGAGCCAAGGATGATTGCCCATGAACCATAGTCCTTGAGATTCTTTGGGGGTCTCAAGAAAATGATCCATACCCACCTGAAAAAACTCAGGATGGGTTTATAAAGCGATATGAAGGCTATGAGACTCACTGCTGCAACGATGAGCTCATGAAAATCCATTCCCATCATCATGCAAAATGAAAAAATTAGAAAAATAAATTAACTATGAAAACAGACTGGCCACTCTCTTCGGCCTTCAATTTAGCCTTGTTCAATTAACTTCCATAAGTAATTTCGTTGACAGCGAAATATAACAACCGACCAAATATATCTTACATTTAATTGCAACCATAATTTAAGAGTGACAATAAAGTTTTTTTTATTTTTTTAATTAAGTCATTGTGAATGTATTATTTGCCTGTATTGTTGATGCAAAAAATACAATAATTAGAGCGATTCGATTGATCTTGACAGAATCAAAACCGATGTGGGCGTAATTATAGATAATCAGCAATATAATGAAAGTAAAAAACAGTAATATAAAGTACAAAAGGGTTTTTAAAGTGGTTTGGCAAGTTGTAATCTTGAGCCACGAAAATAATATATATAATTCCTAAAACAATTTGTTAACCTCTTCTCTATCGTTGGAGGGAGTTCATATACAAGTTTTTTTTTTTTTACAAAGGAAAGAGCAAAATTAAAGAAATTACAATTAAGATTGAAATGCAACCCCGATATTCTTGCTATTGAGCACTAAGATCGCGTCATTATTGTTGTCGATTTAATCCCTTCCGAAATATCTGAGGTCTGAGCTTATCTGTGATTTGCTTGAACAAGTGTCAAGATTGGTCGCGACGAGTTTATACTAGGTCGAGCTATATCTTGACAAGCTTATGCTAGGTCGGACAAGTATTGAACCGAATTGATTCTGGACTGAATTATAACTTTACGGAACTCTAACTTCTTCGAGCTCAATTAAAAAAATCACACGCAACACGTATAAATATGAATTACTAAAAGTATCTTATACTAGTTTTATAAAATTATGCTCCACGAGTTTACATAAAATTCGACCATTAATCTCAATAGATTGAGTCGACTTTTTATAAACACACATTGATTTTTGTATCGCGTTACTTTATATAAAGTTTGCACATATAAATATATAAAGCAGATGATGACTAACATCATTATTTAACAAAACATCATTCAAAACACACCTATATTTATATATAAAATCCTAATTTATAAACAAACTACTCCTGCATGTCAAACTTCTTTCATGGATGGATTGGTCAGTAACAGACCAGTAGCTTTATATTATAAAGGTGATGATGCAACTTTGGAATTAATTAGTCCAAACATTAGAATTTATTATGAGAATACTTAAAGCTTCTCAGTACAAACATTTTTTATGAGAATTTATTCAGCAGCTAATTAAGATAAGCCAACACACAAGTAATTATTTAGTTTATGTGATTTTCAGGGTTTCTTAATGATCTCCTGCGGATGCCTTCAGCAAGACGATTAGCGTCAAGGAAGGTGTCTGGGATATATTGAGACACACCCCATTGAAGTGCGTGAGCCCAGTAAGGCGAACACCTTGCTTCATATCCAATCATGCGAACTGAAGCTCGTGCAAAATGTTCTGCCGTTGGTATAAACAAAGACGGTTCCTTCATCGCTGCTATTCTCAATGTCATTCTTGTTATACAATATGCTGGCACCTGCAATAATATCAATCACCTCAAACGGTTTAGGCTCATTGGTTCACTATAATTTAACATTTTAACAGCAAAAGAATGGCATATGTATTTACCTGAACTTGCACATCAATCCCGTATTTTTTGTATTCAACATATAGAGATCTTGATAGTTGATCCATGTAACTGTACAATTAAAAAAACAAAAACAGTAATTACTAGTAAATGTAATTAAGTACAATATATAAAGTGTCTACAACAGTAATGAAACTTACCATTTGGTAGACGCGTAGAGAGTAAATAAAGGAGAAGAAGGAATGACAGCGGAGGAACCCGCCCCTAGGTTGACGATTGCTCCTTTCCTTTTTCTAATCATAATAGGAAGAACCGACTTGGTCATCCAGGTTACTGAATCTATGTTTACCTTTAAAAGACTCTGCATCACTTCTTCATCAACTTCATGAAAGTATCCAGCAGTGGGGTAATTCAAGCCAGCAACGTTTATCAAAATACCAATGTCTAGCCCTTCAATACCTTCCTCTATCAACTTACTAATCTCTGTGCCGCTGCTTTTCAGGAAGTCGATAACCACATCTTTAGTTTCAACGAACTTATACCTTCGGTGTATCTCAAATGAGGTAGCCTTCAGTTTTTCAGGATTGCGGCCAACCAACACGATGTTAAGACCCTTTGATGCTAATTCAAAGGCAATGGCTTTGCCCAATCCGTCAGTGCAGCCAGTGACGATAGCCCATGTTCCATATTCCTTCAGATTTTTGGCTGGTCTAAAGAATACAACCCATATCCCCCGGATTAAACTCCAAATGAGTTTTAAAAGAAAGAAGAAGCTTACAATATAAACTACTCTGAAAATAAACTCTATTGCCATTTTGTGAATTCTGAAGAGCCTGTTCCACTTCTTAAATTTGTACAAATGTATGTAAATAGAATATGATTTTTTATCTATTAATAATTTTGTTCTATATCAAAACCTTAATTTATTAAGTGTGTATAAAACATGTTGTATTTATTTATAATCTAGAATATCATTTAGTTTGTTTTTGTACTTCATTATTGGATTCAAGTATCATCAACCTTATTTGTAATTTAAAATTTCAGGTAATTTGTTTTTAGACCTTAATTATTAAGTTACGTGAAACTTCATTTAGTATATTTTTTATTTTAATTATTTGAGCGGGTCATTAGGAATTAAATAAAGCACTGATTAATCCTAATTTTTAAAGGTAAATTAAGTTAAAGAAATCAAGTTGAATATGATTTATAAGCTGATAATAATTTTGTCTTATATCAAAATCTTAATTTATTAAATTTGTATAAAATGTATTTTATTTATTAACGGCGTTATTTAAGCCTCACATAATCTCCTTTTATGCCCTAATAATAATTAAAACCATTTTAAAATTATAGTTTTCAAATATATTATATTTCATTATAAGATTATCCTTCTCTAAGTTTTTATTTATTTAGTTTGTTTTTGACTTAATAATTGGATTGGATAATTCTATTTGTGTATCGTGGGCCTTCTTTATAATTTAAAATTTTATTTAGTTTATTTTCGCACTTAATTATTAAGTTGGGTGAAATTTCATTTGGTATGTTTTTGCTTTTAATTATTTGAGATGGTAATTAGGAATTATATAAAGTAATGAGGGCTTGTTTGATATTTGAATTTAAATATAGTTTTTTGTTTTTGAAAATAAAGATACAATTACTCTACTGAAAATATGTCTAATAGAGATTAGTCAAGTTTTTCTCAAGAACAGTTTTTATATATAATCTTAAAAACTAATATGAAGTCTGAAAACGATTAAAAGTTGTTGTCATAGTTTCTATAGTCCTAAATTTGAAAATAGTTTTCTAATATTCAAAATTTTAAATCGTGTTTTAGTTTTTAAAAATTATTTTTGATCACAAGTCAAATGGATACTATATCTTTATATAATGAAATCAAATCAATCTATTTTTAATAATAAAATATATTTTTAGTAAAATCGAATTATTGATTTCTTTTATTTTATTTATTTGATTTCATTTCTTTAACCCACTCATATAAATATTTCAATGTATTTTTAATTTCAGTGTGTAAATTAAAGATAAAAATAAATCTAGTTTGGACCACCCTCATTTAATTTATATCCAACAAATCAATATACTAATCTTACAAGAAATATGTAGATTTTATTTATATAAAAACATGACTATATTCATTCATATAAATTATAATTAGAAATGTGATAATGTTTCCATGTGATGTCCAAAATATTTGATAATTAGGAGAATTTATCACGTTAATCCGAATTATTATGTATTCCATTATCCATAAACAGATCTTGATAAATGTAACTGTAAAATATATAAAATAATTATCCCAACAAAGGGATAGATTTGGTGTAGTATCGATCCAAGGATCCAAGAACTTTTCTAAATGTGTAAAGCTTCAAAATAGTGTCAACAAAGGAAGAACTCAAAATTTAACCTACTAATACCTGATGTTTAATTTAATGAACCAAATATTGAAAACAATGTTTGAGCTGATCAAGCCTTGATTCCATAGAACTTGGCCTTCTCCTGTGTAGTCTGGAACCGACCACGGCCGAACTTGGAGGATATATCAATAAACTTGAGCTTAATCTCCTCCATTGCAAGTCTCGATGTCTGCTTCAGCAATGACTGCCTCAATGTCACCACGCGCTTTTTGGGTCCAACGCAGCACCCCTTGATCAGCAGGAAATCTTCTTTCACGATACCATAAAGAGGGAATCCTGCCATCGGTGTAATATCCTTCTCAGTCCTGAAAACCGGAAAAGCAATCCTTCTCAGTCCTGAAAACGGAAAAGCCGATTAGTGAGACTTGAAATTGAACATCACTGTCTTAAAAGTGTACGTAACAGTAATTTGAACCTGTCACATTCGGTCATGGCAAAGTGAGAAGCTTGTAGATTTTCTAACCTTGCGAAGATCTGCTTCTCAAAGAAACCATATGAAAAGTCAACCTTCTGGGCAACGGTGAAGGCCTCGATATCTTTCTTCCTATCTTCACTTTCAAACTTCCTTGAGTACTTGGTGAAGGTCTTCTTCTTAGATTTCTCTCCACCATCTTATAAAGGAGTTCAACAACTTTTGGTCTCTCATTATTTTTCAGGAAACCAAAGATAAGCGTATTGGAAACTGCTTGGGACCTATTTCAGAAAGTTTTTCAGCAGCACTAGGTTTTCATGCCAAGAAATTTTATGAAATAGATTCAAAGCAGTTTCGAATCTCCTTGTTTTACACAATCCATCCTCGAGGGAATTCAAGCTTTTAAGACTAAATGCAGACTTATTATTTACTAGAGTATAAAACATTTCCACCGCTTCCAAAACACACCCATTCTTGCAAAGTACATCAAGGAAAATCTATGTCACAGAATTAGGTACAACACCAATAAGTTGCATCTCATCAACTAATTTACCTGCATCTTTGACCTTAGCTTTAAGAAAAAAGCCAGTTAACAAAGTGTTATATACAATGTTGGCCTAATTCCTTCTGAAATCATCTTTCAATAAACACAAAGAGCTTGATTGACCTCTTTATTCTTACAATACTAGTTGATTAAAGTATTGTAGCCGAACAACATTAGGTCTATATCCCTTTCTAGTTATAGAATCAAACAACTCCCTTGTATCACCAATTCTATCTGACAAGCAATAACCATTTATTAAAATGTTGTAAGTATAAACGTTAGGATCCACACATCTCGACAATGTGAGTCATCCCAACTTTGTAACAAAGGAATGCAATCAATCAGCATAGTTTGGTAGGATCGTCTTCAGGGAAAGCCTTCATTGTGTAAGCACATAACAGAGAATCAAGAATCAGAAACTAATAAAAAATATTCAAAAATGAACATTATGATAGCAACAATCCACAAACCTGACATTACAAGCAAAAAGAGTTTTGTTGCCTTGAATTACAAGGTATCCGACACACAATGATTAGCATAGCTATTCTAACAGAAAAGCTTGCTGTAAAATTACATTACAACAGAATCAAGATAACGTCAGAAAAACAATACAGCCAACTAACAGTCAAAATCAAGGGAAAAATGATAACTAGATATCAATATATTTTTCTTGACCATAAATTTGTGTTAAAGAGACAATAGAATAAGTAAAAATGGTTACAATAACCATGTGACACCAAATATACAATAGTTCGGCTGCATCAATTTACTTTGATAAAATTTTATTCTAGAAAAAAAAAAATCACAGCTGATTTTAAGAAGAGTATGGCGATTCATCAAACCATCATGCAGTAAAAATATACATCTCAATGAAATTTCTAAAAGACAATCAGCTGGCAAACAAAAATATAATCCTTCTCAACTACAAACATCACAATTTTATTTGGCCAAGAATCAAGCAAACAATTTAAAACTTCCACAGAAAAAGACTAGTAAGATCAGAAACCTTTTCCACTGTGCCGAGCAGCTCTATTTCTTAGGAGAAACCCCAAAGAACCATGTAGTGGTTGTTCGAACTTACGATAAGACATCCTTCCCTGATGAAGTTAACTACAATAATGATTTGTTGCTTTGATAGAATTATATTTCAATACATAAATAATAAACTTGAACCACACATATACACTAATAAGAACCTCAAATTCACAAAACTCATATCTAAATCATAATAAAAAAAAAATTAAATATGTTGAAATGAACAATAAACTACAGCCAAAAAATACAAATTTGATAGATTTCTCACATCTTATCTAAAAGACCCCTCTTTAATTAAGAGAGTTGAAAGGTGCATAGTACATACCACTAGCTCAAACATATGCCCATTGACGATTGGGATAGATACAAATACAACTTTAACAAGCCCAAAATAAAAGCTATCACTAAACAATAATCTTTTCTTACCATTTTGTCTTACAGCAGAAGAGATAAGTCAAAAAAGTGTAACACTGTAACCATTCTAAATGACTATCAAACACAAAATTAATATTCTGCAAAAGGCAAGCAAAACTATAACACAAAAAACTTAAATAAAAACCTCAAAATAAAATTAAGAAATGGTTAATTACCAAATCCATAACCTTAACAACACTTCTAAAAAACAATTAAAAATATAAAACTAAATTATGGTTTTTCTCATCAAAAGGAAAGAAAAACTGTAAAAAAAAAAAAAAATTGTTTAAAAACATCAAAAAAACAAAATTTTAAGGATAATTGCCAGATCTATAAATTCAACAAAAACTTTTTTAAAATTCTCGACCTAAAAATATTGATTTTTATAAAAATACTTATAACACCCACAAAAGTACATAAAAAATATGGGATTTGTTAAATAAAAGAAAGCGTAAACTTGTAAAAGAGATGAACACACGGACTGGGTTCATGCAGAGCAGGCAGACTGAACGATTGTACCTTTTAAATATAACGAGAAAACTGTAGAAATTGAGAGTGGCAGTGCCTTTGAAATTGGGGCTGGAGCTAGGGTATAGAGTGGATTTTATAATTTTTTGGTGGAGATTTGACGGCTATGATTGGTTCTGTGGATGTACATGAACCGTCTGGATCTTCGTTTCGCTATTTTCGGCTAATGCTTGACTAAGTTCCAGTTGGGTCGGCCTTGGCCCGTTTGTTTTTGGACTCATACGCATGCGATTTTGACCTCTTTCGTTTTTGTTAAAACATGAATTATCTATCCGAATATTCTCAGGAAAACGATAGAGTTATCGAAAGTTATACATCAAATTCGTAAACTGAATAACATAACAAAATCCTAACTATTGATTAATATTAACTTATAATAAATAAACGGTCAGGATTTAGCTACGTCATTCGGTGTACAAATTCAGTGTACACCCTTCGATAACTGTAACATTACTCATATACTAATATTAGGTTAACAATCTAGTCTCGTAACTTTTTCTCACAATCTTTAACGTGATAGTTTATTATTGGTCAACTCATAAAATAGGTCTTACATGCTTATATAGGTTCTAACTGCCCATTTATGAATTAACCTAATATTATTGGTATACAATAATATATGACAATAGAGTTTAATAATTCTTTTCGAGGTTTCACTAAATAACAATTATCTTCTTCAAAGTATTTGAAACGAGATATATCGCATACCATAATATATTACTTAGAAAAAGAGTTTTAAAATTCTTTTTTTAAGGTAGTAATTCTTCGCGACTTTATATTCCAACAAATATAATCAAACGGTTATCATAAATTTACATTTTAGCCTCCACCATAGCTAGTGGCGGACCTAGAGTTTTTATCTAATGGGGGCCTCCGCAGCTCTGCCATTGTTTGCCAATAAACTAGTGAAAACTTTTAAAAAACCATTAAACCTTGAACAAAGGAAATAATACAATATCAAGAAGCTGAAAAGAAAAAATATAATAACATAATACTTTTCTACTTAAATAATTCTATAAGAAGCAAAACTTTGAGCAAATGTGTTGAAAATAACATCCAATTTAAAGGAAACATAAGAAAAATTTTACGTGGAAAAACATCTTCAATGTGAAGAGAGCAAAAAACCCTAACTTAAACCCTAAATCCTAAACCCTAAATCTTGACCTAATTTGCTTTCAAATCAAATTCTTCTCTTGATGTTATTGATGTATGAAATTAGAAGGGAAGAAGCAAGGGCCGAATGGAAAAATGAGTTGAGTTGTATGCACTTTTAAAGTAATGTTTTATATGATTAAGTTCTTTAAAAAATTAAATAGTAAACAATTATGCTTGCTCTTAACACTAGATTGTCATGGTCAAAGTTCAATGAATAACTCGAATTGAATTATAATATGATTATTTAGTTTAATTATGTCATGTTATTGTCATTAATTAGATGATAGATTTGTGAAAAGAGTGTAACATAATCATTCGAAATTTATTAAAATCAAGGAAAATAATGATAATTATTAAGTAGATTATTAGTTTATAATTATATAAATTATTAACTTTTATTTCTATTAAAAATGGGTATAAGTTACAACATAGAATCTTTTACTAATAGAGAGAATTGACGTATATTAAGTAATTAATTAGGTAGAGGGATGAAAAATAGAAAGGTAAATACAAATGAAATAATGTTAGGTCATAGAATTAAAAATCACATTTAATAGTGATTTATGTGATATATTATATGAACTAAATTAGTCGAAAGTAAGAGGACATAAATGTCAAATTAATAAGATAGGTAGAATCCTAAAGCATAAAGAGAGATCCTAAAGAATTAAATTGTTTTTTTTTTTTTTTTTTTTAAATTTGAGGCCTACCCTCAAAGGGGGCTGGGTCCACCCCTGACCATACCAATTAGCAAGATACTATCTTATAAGGGTGTTCAGTTATGGGTATCCTGCATTTTTTAAAGGAACCAGAACTGACGGTTCCTTGAAATTTGAAACCAGAACCAGAACTGACGATTCCAGTTCCTAGGTACCCAGAATCGAAACCTGTAACAATGGTTCTGGTTCCGGTTCTGGTACCCTATAAAATTCCAATGACCCCCCAAAAGTTTTTAAAATGGCAAAAAAAACCCACCCTTAAAAACTTATAAATACCCCCCTACCTGGCACTTGTTAATAAAAATAAAATTACAAATTATAAATTCAAAATTACAAACTCCATTACTTTGTAAAGGTAGATTCTCAAAAGTCAAACCAACTTACTTTAAATGTTATGAAATATAAATATAAATGTATTCACATTACTTTTTCTACGAAAGTTTTTCTTAACCCCCTTACTTTTTAATTTTATTTTATATTAATCTCGGTTCCTGGTTCCGGTTCTAGTTCTTAACTATAGGAACCGAAACCAGAACCGCATAATAACGGTTCCAAAAATTTGGAATCGGAACCTACCCGTTGACGACCGGTTCCACGTAGGAACCGGAACCAAACCCTGGGTATCTGGCGGTTCCGGTTCCAACCGGTTCTTTTGAATACCCCTACTACCTTATACTCACAATTTGAGATAATTCGACCCCTTTGCCTCCGCCCACAATAAGACGGTAGCTTACTGGCCAACAATCCCTTGCAAAGTGCATGGTTTATAAAGGATTTATATTCTTGTCCAAGTTATAATACCACACTTCAAAATCAAATGTTTACAACTAGGCCAAAAACTATAATTGTTGGTAGAGGCGCAAGTTTTAGTTTCTATTAAATTCCCTCCAATGTGATTATACGCTTACCAAATTTCCATTGAGTTTAGTATGTATTTGGTCGGTGTGAGAGTAAGTACTTCCGTTAGTAATTTGAAATTCTTGTGGCTTAATGAATTTATACAAGCTAAGTTGGATTTGTAAAATTCACCTTAATGGATATGCCTTTGTAAATGGCATTAAACCATGGTATTTGGCCTTCCCATTCACTCAAACACATATATCTTAGAAGGTTTATGAAAAAGTTATTGTTACCTAAGTAGAGAGATTCAAGCAGCTTCAAGTTCCCAAGCTCATGAGGAATTAGGCCATCTTATAAACCACAGCTTTCTAGATTTATCTCCTTGGTATCCCACCTTCAAAAATATTGTAGTGACCCAAATTAATGAATCTCTCTCAAGTTTGTAAGATTCCCCAACTCAAGAGGAATTGTACCAGTGAGCTTATTGAAAGATAAATAAAGGGATTGAAGCTCCTTATTTCTGCCGAGGGTCTGAGGTATCACAGCAGTAAAATTGTTCATGAAGAGGCTCAAAAGCTTGAGATTGATGAACGAATATGGGATTTCTCCAGTGAGTTCATTCTGGGAGAGATCAAGACTAACAAAATTTGTCGAGTCGCCAAGCTGTTTCGGTATTGAACCTGAATGAAGATTTTTATACAAGAGAAAGAGTGCCAAGCAACTTTAAGTTCCCAAACTCATGAGGAATTGGACCATCTAAACCACAACTTGTGAGATCCATGTAAACCAAATTCACCAAATTGCCAAACTCCTTTGGTATCCCACCGTCAAAAATATTGTAGTACCCCAAATAAATCTTTCTCAAGCTATATAAAATTATGTTTTACTAGTTATCATAAAATTCAACCATTAATTTATATGTATTGAGTCCATTTTTTTTAAACACTGTCATTTGTGCATATTATATTATTTTAGAGTAATACTAGCCTTACAAAGAGGCATACAAAAAGCTATACAAAGAGTCAAATCTAGCAATTAAAAGAAGGGAAAAAGAGAGAGAGAAAGAGGCAATCATGAATTTCAAGGGTTAGATTTGACTCTTTGTAAGGCTAGTATTACTTTTATTTTAACAAACACATTTATTGCCAATTAATAAGATTAAGATGGTTAGTTTTACACAGGGCGGATCCCTCACATTTAAAAAAAAAATTATTTATATAGGCTTATAAAAAATTCTATTAATATATATATACATATAAGCTCATCTTCGTATTTTAAAAGAATGAAAAATATTATAGATATATCCAAACTCATAAAATACTTGTTATTAATATATATATTTCACGCTTACATTATATTAAAAGTTAAAAACTCTCTTTACTCTTTTTTATGTGCATTTTTTTTTTATGATTTTATCCCAAAAATTCTTTATTCTCTCATTCTCTCTTTCACTTTCTCTATGTTATTTTTTCTTAAAACTTTTGAAGACTGAAATTGTTGAAGCTTTCACTCATCAAGGTGCAACAATTAGCTTCGTTTTCTGTTTTCTCAATTTCAGTTATGTATATTACTCATTTCATTTTAGTTTATTTAGGATTGAATCATGCTTATTTTTTGGAGGATTTTTATTCTTTTGATGGAAAAAAGCATGAATCATGTAAGTTTGTTTTGTGTTTTATGTTTAAGAATGTTCTCGCTTTCCCAAATTAAACTTTAACTATATTTTACTGAACGTTATTCTTCACCCTTCACCCATCACTTTCCTATATTTCAAACGTCACCATTTAGCTGCTCAAAATTATTAAAGAAGTTTGAGTTATTATCTATGTTTATACTAAGAAAATTTCCCCTTTTCTTATTAAGTCATATTATAAGTCAAGGCAATATTGACTTAATTTAAGTTTTGGTTGACTTTATCTTAGGCTAGACCTGATCAAAGTCATGAAAATTTATATTATAATCTTTGAAAGAAAAAAAAAATAAAAATAAAAAGGAGAAATAAGAAATTTGTGTAGAACATTTTGGTGGATTGTAATTGTTGTAAACTCTTTTAATTATATTGGATTTAAGTAGATCGTTAGATTCCCATGGTCTTTTGCTCTCTTTAATTGAAGAGGTTTTTTCACGTAAAAATTTTTCTGTGTTTCCTCGTGAATTGAATGTTATTTTCAACATAATTTGCTCAAGGTTTTGCTTCTCATAGATTTATTCAAGTGGTAAAGTATTTTGTTGTTGTATTTTTTTCTTTCAAATTATTGATATTATATTACTTCTGTTGCTTAAGGTTTGGTAATTTTTTAAAAATTTTTACTAATTATTTGATAAACAATGGCGAAGCCATGAGGCTCTTCCAGACAAAAATCCTAAATCCACCACAGGTTTTACATGAGGATAAATTCAGGCTGTGGTGAGTAGCAATAATTATGACTAACCAATAACCATGTGACATCCTGATTTGATATATATTTTTTATAAAAGTAAATAATAATTTATTAAAATAATCAATATGCTACATTTACATCAATCTTTTACACAAATTTTATTACATTATGATGTGGTATATGTCACAATCACACAAATTTTTAATTATTTTTAATTTTTAATATTATAATATAAATTATATGACTATATCATATGTTACATCATAATATAATAAAAATGATGTAAAAAAATTGTGTAAGTGTAACATTGCTGTATCAAAAACCACTTTATCTTTTATTTAACAAAACACCGTTCCAAAACACATGCACGTATATTTATAAAATCCTGAAAGCTGCAACACAATCTCTAAAGTAAAATACTCTTATCACGGATTTAATTATTAAAACGTATTACAATTTACAACCCTCGAAACTTGATGGGCAGATTCACAAACCGTTTGAATACTCAACGCTTCTTAAAACAAACATATGTTTTGAGGATATATTTATTCAGAAGCTAAATAAGATGGTCAATATACAAACATATTAAGATAATCAACAGATGGAGAAACAAGATTAATCAGTTTTTCCTTGTGATCTCCTGCGGATGCCTTCAGCAAGACGAAAGGTGTCGAGGACGGTGTCTGGGACATATATAGACACACCCCATAGAAGGGCGTGAGCCCAGTAAGGAGAACACCTTGGTTCGTAGCCAACCATACGAACCGAAGCTCGTGCAAAGTCTTCTGGCATTGGAATAAACAAAGATGGTTCCTTTATCGCTGCCATTCTCAGCGTCATTTTTGTTACACAATAACCTGGCACCTGCAATATCAATCAGGTCAGAAAAGATTTAAGGCTAATTGGTTCACTATAATTATTGTAATTGGGAGAACTGACAGCAAAAGAATGGCACCTGAACTTGAACATCAATCCCGTATTTTTTGTATTCAACATATAGAGATCTTGATAGTTGATCCATGTAACTGCACAATTAAGAAAAACAAAAAACAGTACTGCTTAACAACTAATGTCTTTGCCTTAATTAAGAACAATACATAATGTGTGTACAAAAGTAGTGAAACTCACCACTTGGTAGAAGCGTAGAGAGTAAATAAAGGAGATGAAGGAATGATAGCTGAGGAACCAGAGCCTATGTTGACTATTGCTCCTTTCCTTTTACTGATCATAATAGGAAGAACCGACCTGGTCATCCAGGTTACTGAATCTATATTTACCTTTATGAGACTCTGCATCAACTCTTGATCAACTTCATGAAAGTACCTTGCAGTGGGGTAATTCTCCCCAGCTACATTTATTAAAATACCAATGTCTAGCCCTTCAATACCTTCCTCTATCAACTTACCAATCTCCTTGCCACTGTGAACCTGGAAGTCGATTACCACATCTTTGGTTTCAATCAACTTATACCTTTGGCGTATCTCAGTTGAGATAGCTTCTAGTTTTTTAGGATTGCGGCCAACCAACAGAATGTTAAGACCCTTTGAGGCTAATTCAAAGGCTATAGCTTTGCCCAAACCCTCGGTGCAGCCAGTGACGACAGCCCATGATCCATATTTCTTGAGATTTTTCGCCGGTCTCAAGAATAAGACCCATATCCCCCGGATTAAACTCCAAATGAGATTACAAAGAGAGAAGAAGCCTAGAATATAAACTACTGTAAGAATAAACTCTACTTCCATTTTTTAAAACTCTGATGAGCGAGACTGCTCAACTTCTTCAACTATTTATACTGTATAATGAACCGTTTGCCCCTTTAATTTGCTTTTAATTAAAAATTAAAAAGTTTAAGCACACCCTGTCATCATTTATCATACAATTGTTGTGTGGATCGAAACTAGCAAAAAAATTGAAATTATAAACAATAAACGGCTTTATAGTCAATAAGATATATAAAGAACTAAAGAAGTACAAATAACATAACACACAAACAGGTGATTCAAATGTTGGTTTCCATTAACGAGGAAATTAAGAATACTCACAATAATTTAGTATTATAAAGACATTTGATCTCAACTTTAAAGAACAAAAACTATTATCAATTCAAAACTTTAAATGTCTTTTGCTAAGTACCCAAAACTGTCAGAATATGGCAAAGAATGATAGGCAAGAGAGGCAGAGGAACAAAGATGACCGAGTGCCTAAAAGATAAAGGAAGAAGATGAAAGAATATTTCTCTTTTGTATATTTCAGTATTGTAATGTGTCTAATTTATACAAGTTTACAAGTGTAAAATATGAAAATACAATAAAATATAATCAATGTAATTACATGAAATCAATAATTGTAATTCCTTCAATCAAACCATGAATCAAGCCATAATAGTTTTTGCCTTCAATTAAGCATGGATCACAACACTCTGTAATAATCATATTCCATCACTCCCCCTCAAGCTTGTGATTTGTAGATGTCATAAACTCCAGGCTTGTGAAGAAGATAAGAGTGTTGTCTGCTGCACAATGGTTTTGTGAAGACATCTGCTGGTTATTCTGAAGTGCGGATATGTAGAGTCTTGATTATTCCTTCTTGAATTTTTCCTCTAATGAAATGACAATCAATCTCTATGTGCTTTGTTCTTTCATGGAACACTGGATTTACTGCAATATCATTTACAACTTTGTTATCGAAGTATAAATGAATAGGTGTCTTAATATGTACCTCCAAATCTCCTAGTAACCCAAGGATCCAGATGATCTCACATGTCGTTTTAGCCATTGCTCTATATTCAGCCTCTGTTGATGAGAGAGATGCTGTTGATTGTTTCTTTGTCTTCCAGGAGATTAGTGGACCTTCGACTTTTATATAGAACCCAGTGAGAGATTTCCTTTTCATGGGGCATGTGGCCCAATCAAAGTCACAATATGATGTGATGTTTAAGTTTCTATCTCTAGGTAAAAGAAGTCCTAAGCCAGGACATCCTTTTAAGTATTTGAGTTCCTTCATTGCTGCATCCATGTGTGATTGTTTTGGCCCATGCATAAATTGACTGAGAATATGGACAGCATAGCTGATATCAGGACGTGAAATGGTAAGATAAATTAGTTGCCCAACAAGTCTTTGATAATGTGAAGGATCTTGTAGTGGCAGATCTATTTCTGAGGATAACGTCCCTTTATCATATTCTTGAGTAGTAAGCTTGATATTCTGCTTGACTGGAATAACGTTTGGTTTACGTGATGCTAACCCAGAGTCTGATATAAGTTCAAGAACATACTTTTGTTGACTTAAGGAAATGTCTGCTTGAGATCTGGCAATTTCAATCCCTAGAAAGTATTTTGGTTTACCAAGATCTTTTATTCGAAAATGCCTATTGAGATGCACCTTCAAACCTTTGATTCCCTCTTCATCGTTTCTTGTGATTAAAATGTCATCAACATAAATGATGAGTGCTACAAAAAATTCACCTTTGTGTCAGGAGAAAAGGGCATAGTCATGCTTGGATTGTACAAAACCAATGTTTGTAAGAGCCTTTGTGAACTTTTCGTTTCATTGTCAAGATGCTTGTTTTAGTGTCGAACCAATCGTCACAGTCACAAAATTAAACCTAAATATCATAGTTAGCGGTAAGCAGGGTCGAATCCATAGGGAGCAAGACTAACAACCTAATGTATTTTGAGTAGCGGAAATGAAATTGGCAATTGATTAATGAAACTAAACAAACTAAATATAAATAATAAAACGTGAAATTAAAACTAATAAAGACTTTATAATAAAAATGTTGCCGTTACGGTTTTGGTTCGACACGAGACTGACTCACACAATTCTCCTCCACCCTTTACGATCCCTTAAACTTACAAGGCAAGTTAAATCAATGAAATGGCTTCCCGACACTCTAGGTATAATCTATCATGTCTCACCCGATCACTCAAGTTTAATTGGTTAAAGATTATCATTGAACGCCGATAAACGCTACAAGGCAATACCACTAGTTGGTATGCGATTAACAAATACAATTTGTCAACACATATATCCCAATCAACCAACTTCACAATAAATTCTATAATAGTAGAAATTAAATTAAATCCGAACACAACTCAATTACAATCGATGCGAAGTAATGAAAAGCAATATTCATCATTTAATTATTTTAAACCAACGTTTATCATTCAGCAAGTTCTATGAAAACATTAAATTATAATGGACAACAATATTCATAACAGATTATGCTCAAACCAATTAAAGTATCGAAATCAAACATGAAATGAAAAAAAATATAATCCGAAGCACAATACTACCAAATGTCCTATAATCGGGCTCATCCAACTAGTCGAGAGTTGATGAGCAGAGTCATGGAATCAATCTCAATCTCAATCTCGCCTAAGTTGTAACAGACAATCGGGAACTTAGTCGCTCATGGTGGTGATGACAGAGGCTGAAACGGTGGAAACGAAGCTGATCATGGCGAAGAGGAGGTAACCGACAGCGATATGATGTGAAGAAGGGCCGAAAACGACCAACGGACAAACGTTAATTTTCCGGCGGGTCTTCCAGAAAATGGTGATGGAAATGGGATTCGAAGGTACCGATGGAAAGCTCTGGCGATGGGGAGTTCAGATAAGGTCCTAGGGAGGTGAAAAGTCGTCGGAAATGAGCAAGATTTGGGCTAGAAGATGAAGAGTCGCGGTGGCTAGATGGTGGATTCCGATGGTTTTTGCGGCGGCTAAAGCTTGAGATGTGTAGATCTAGCCGTGGGGAAGGGAGATCAAGTCCTAGGGAGCCGAAACGTCGCTGGAAAACGGCAAAATCTGGCCTGGAAGGTGAAAAGTTACGGTGGTGGAAGATGAAACGTCACGGCGTTTCGCTGGTTTACGGTGGCGATTTGAGGTGGTTTTGGTGGTTGATGAAGATCAGTGCACGGGGAGATGGATCATTGCCGGAGGTCGTCGAAAAAGAAGCTGAGGAGTCGTCGGAAAAGATGGATGAACAGCCCCCCTGTATGCAACCTTTCATTTTCATTTTATAGACAACATGTAAAATATCAATTTGATCCCTACACGATTAAAAATTGACAGAATTAACCTTTGTAAATATGATAGCTTACCCCCTAAACAGCATAAATGAGACAAAATCACCCCTAATCCATAAACCACAACCTAATATCAACTCATATCCTTTCCAAAATCATTCCAAACATGTTAAATTCATAAGAAAAATATTAGGAAGAGATTTTCGTGAATAAATTCATAAATTCTTTAATTGTCTCAATATACTTCAATTTAATCACACTTGGGGTATTTTTGTCACCAAAATAGAGTCACTTTCATGACTCTAACATTTAGACCATAGAAAGACTTGCGCAGACGACATACTGTGTTCTCCCCCTGTCTGCAAAGTTCATGTGGAAGGTCCATATATATTTCTTCATGTAGATCACCATGAAGAAAAGCATTATGAACATCTATTTGATGTAGAGACCAGTTATGAATAGAGGCAATGGATAGAAATGACCTTACAGTAACATGTTTTGCAACAGGTGAAAATGTTTCTTGGTAATCAAAACCTTCCGGTTGTGTGAAACCTTTTGCCACTAGTCAAGCTTTATATCGTTCGATTGAACCATCCGCTTGATATTTGATTTTGAACACCCATTTGCAGCCAATGGGTCTCCTGTGAGTGGGGCGAGGTATTAGATCCCAAGTGTTATTGTGAGCTTGGGTATTCAATTCGTCGGCCATTGCCTTTTGCCACTGAATATGTTGGACAACTTTTGAATAGTTGGATGGTCCATGGTTGGCAGAAATCTGATTGATACAAGCTCTATGTGTAGGAGAAAGACGATAATAAGTAACATAATTGGAAGATGGATAAAGTGTACTTGATGAATTTGATAAGGTGGGGCAAACATAATCCGATGTCCAAATAGGTGGTTTGGTGGAACAAGTTGACCGTCTTTGAGGATAAACAGGAGGTGGGATAGGAGAGTATGTTGTGTGGTCGAGGGTATGTTAGTAGATGGATGGGAGTCTGTTTGTGGAGATGTGGGAGTAGATTGGTGTTGGTGTTGTGGTGTAGTTTCTAGTGATGGCAAATTGGTAGTAGGTAGTATTGCAAATTGAGGACTTGTTGGAGATTCATCTCCAAGAAACATGGGTAACTTTGTTGATGGAGTTGGAGGGGCAACATTTGTAATAAAGGAAAAGCTATCTTCATGAAAAAAGACATCTCTAGAAATAAGAAATTTATCTGCTGCGAGGTCATATAGACGATATCCCTTCTGTATCATTGGATATCCCATAAAAATGCACCAAGTGGCCCATGGGCCGAATTTATCATGAGACCCAATAATGACAGAATAACAAAGACAACCAACTACTCTGAGATGACTGTTTTTGGGTGCCTTACCAAACAATGCTTCATATAGACTTTTGCCACCAAGGACGCGGGTTGGCATCCAATTGATCAGATATGTGGCAGTGATCACACATTCTCTCCAAAATTTGATGGAAATGTTGGCTTGGCGTTTTAGGGCTTTGGCTACTTCTAATAGGTCTCTGTGTTTTCTTTCTACCACCCCATTTTGTTAGGGAGTATAGGTGCAAAAGCTTTCGTGTAAAATGTCAAGTGATAAAAACAATGAGGAGCACTGATGACTAAATTTTTTTTTACCATTATCAATTCGAACCCTTTGAATTGATGACTTGAATTGGGTGGTTACCATGGATAAGAAATTACTAATGTGAGT